CGGCGTTAATGTCATAAACCTTCTTCGACGGCTAGTCAGAGGAATCCGGTCTTCCCCAAAACGACGAAGCTCATTTATTGATTCGTGCCGATTTGTGAAACTGGTTCCTCTATTACCAATTATCGATGTGACAACTCGCTGGAATAGCACGTTCTATATGGTCAAACGAGCCTTACAGCTACGAGAGGCAATGGACAAAATATGCTGGATTGAAGATTCTTTGAAAGATTGGTCAATAGATCCAAAGCAATGGGAGGTCCTACAGAAGATCCGGGATGGTTTGAGTGTTTTCGAGGTTATATCAAAGGCAATCGAGGGGTCTAGATATCCAACACTTCCGCTTGTTATTCCATTTTACAACGATCTTATCGATCAACTGGAGGACCTAGAGGATGCAGAATTAGATGAAACTTTCACCAAAGCATTTCGAAATGCACTAGATAAGCTGAGAATATATTACTCAATCGCTAAGAGCCCGTGTTTAGCAGTTGCTACGGTACTCGATCCTCGTTTTAAGGATCAATATTATCGATTTTCAAAGGCTTGGGAGAAAGATGTAGGAAGGGATCAGGTCACCCTAGTGCGGAAAGTCTGGGAGGAATCGTATAAGTCACGGAAAATCAAGAACAGTGGTGCCGATGTTTTTGGAAACACGCCAGAACGTCGACACGATTCGAGCGGAGCTTCCGGTGATAGACAGAAAAAAACGGACGCTGAACGCTTGAGAGCCATTAGATCCGTTTTCATCTGGCAAGAAGAGATTTCTGACAAAAAAGATGAGCTGGATCGCTATCTTGGCGATCAGGTACTCCGCGGTGTTGATTCTGATGGGAAGCCAATCAATATTATGGACTGGTGGAAGACCGTTGGAAGTGTGAACTTTCCAGCCCTAAGCCAGATGGCAATGGACTATTTAGGAATACCAGCAACAAGCGCTCCAGTTGAACGAAAGTTTTCAGACGGGGTTGATTTGGTACCTGCAACTCGCAACTGCCTTGCTCCAAGAACAATAAATGCGTTGATGTGCCGTCATGACTGGTTGCATCAATTGAGTGCTGAAGAACCGTTCAAAAATGATTCCCTAGATTCAAAAAGTGATGTTAGTGAGGATTTTGTAAAGGTGCATAATTTTGGCGAGGATTTTGATGTGGTATTAGAGTTGGAAGCAACTGATGATAACCCAGTCTTTTAAATATAAATTGTTGTTTAGACTGTTCATCTGTTGAAGTACCGTCCAGGAGTTGAGAAAGCGACCGCCTGGACAGAATCCTATTGCAAGTAGTATTTGTAGAGAGGTTGGTTGTACTTGATCGAGATCAGTGAAGTATCAGTGAAGTACTGTCAATGAGTTGAGAAAGTGTCCTGGTGGACAGAATCTTATTGCTAGTAACATTATTAGAGAGGTTAGCTGTACTTGATAGAGATCACTGAAGTACCGTCAATGAGTTGAGAAAGTGTCCGGGTGGACAGAATCCTATTGCTAGTAACATTGATAGATAGGTTAGTTGTATTGGGTAGAGATCACTGAAGTACTGTCAATGAGTTGAGAAAGTGTCCGGGTGGACAGAAATCTGGGAGACTGAGTGTCACTGTGTCTATCTGGGTAGAATAGGATTCTGTCCCCCCGGACACTTTCTCAACTCATTGACGGTACTTCAGTAATTTCTATCAGGTACAGCTAACCTCTCTATTAATGTTACTAGCAATAAGATTCTGTCCACCCGGACACTTTCTCAACTCATTGACGGTACTTCAGTGATCTCTATCAAGTACAGCTAACCTCTCTATCAATTTTACTAGCAATAAGATTCTGTCCACCCGGACAGAATCCTCTCTATCAATGTTACTAGCCAGTTTCTTCCCTAGCTTATTATTATTTTCAGATCGGGTAGAAAACTATAGTGTCAGGGAAGTATTATAGCATACATTCCTGTAACATTCCGGCTAAGAACACCGGGCCAGTATCTTCCCACGACAAAGAGTACAAACACCATGCCTCGAACTACAAAGAAGCGAGCGTTAAAACAATCCAGACCATGATCTGAAAGAGAATCAAGTGCAGAACCTGTGACTGCACCTGAAACATCTCTGGCATCGGGTTCTGAAGTGGAAGAAGCAGAAGTTGGCCTTGATGTCAAATCGACAGATGTCAAATCGACAGCTCCTTCAAAGAAACCGGCGCGACGTGGTACTAAAGGGGATGCTGACTATTTGCTCATCGACGGACTCTGTCCTGCTTCAGACATACGACTTTGGTATCGAAAATTCAAAGCGAGTGGCCACAGCTACGACTCGGAGGACTTCATCAGCAACTGTCAAACAAATCGTGATGAATGCGGCCCAAGATTTGTTCTTCAAGGGTTGATCGACCGACTTAACTCTGACAGCAAGCTAGTTCGTCAAGCGCTGAACGAAATTCACGATGAATGCAGTGGACGAACGGAGTTCATAACAGCAGCAAACGCCTATCATATGGAGTGCTTGAAAAGCTCTTCCTTTCAGAAGGAAACAACATTTCTGGACTTTTACAGGCGGCAGGGACACAAGTACGGCATTTACAGAGGAATGCCTGTCACTGCAAAGGTTGACGAGTTCCAAGCGACCATCAAACGAGCAGATGAGGACCGTGAAAGGACAAAACAGCTTCTGAATGACCAGCCTGTCGTTTCAGAGCAGCAAGCTCTCCCTCCAGGGCGGTCACACGTGATTTCCATTGTGAAATCTCCTGGGAAGTTGCCTGCTTCTCCCTTTCCATTGCAGCGGTGATCTCCCTGAATCTTGCTAGCTCTTCGTGCTCGCCGTGCTGAATCAATGCACCCGCCCTGCCCAATTCATCAATGAGAGCCTTCTCTCGCACTTCTGCTGCGATGTGGGTCCTTTTCTCGTTCATTGCAGTCTCTTCAAGATCTTTTGTCATGTTCAACAGTCGTTCTGACTGTTTGAGGACCTGCAGCACCTGCGGTGCCAACATCAACAGGCGGCCTAATAAGCATATCGTCGGCTATCAAGGGGATTGGTAGAATTCCGAAGGTACATCGAACCAGTTCTCCGACGAGTTCCCTTGCATTGCTTAGCCTGCAGCAGCATCGTCGTACGGCTATCCTTTTGGTGAAAGAGGTCATCCAGGGTATCTGCTTCCAGATGCATAAGATCAATGAGGTTATTTATGACCTTAAATTGCCGTCTCTTCCACCATCAATCAAGTACGTCAATGTAAACTACGAAGTCCTCTCCCGAAATGAGGTTTTACGGCCCATATTTGTTGAATCAGACGACCGCTCAAGCCGAATATCAACTTCAAGTAGCAGTTCTCGGAGCAGCCTTACTCTTCTTAAGGTGCACATTTTGCTCGGAAACTGGATACGGCACAATAATTCGCTAAGTACGTCTGCCACTATCTATCGCATGTTCAGGGCATTAGTGGATGCATATCCTTCTGAGTGGCTAAGGTTCTGGACGGCATACATCGGGCATCTTTCGTCCATAACGCTCCCTGAGGTGGATTGGAAACCTTGGAAGACAGGTTTAGCCAAGGATTTCATGCTTTCAAATGACGACATTGATCGGTTCATCAGGACTGGGTTGGCGAAAGACGTAACCAGTGGTGGATGGGACTCTGACAATATGAACCAGATACAGAAGCTGATTTGGGCTGTTCCACCTATCAACTTGTGATTGCTCAGTGGAGTTTTGTTTCTTTTTACGATAGTGTTTCTAAAATACACACTGTCCACACAGACACAAAGTGTTCATGTAAATATCCGTGGTCTAACTCAAAATTCAATCAATCCTCTCCTGGGCAGCAAAAACCCGGCGGGTCAGGGTCGGGTACGGGTTTCAACCACTTCGGGTCCGGGTATTCCCTTTGTACCCGTCAGTGACCCGGCGGGTCCCCAGACAAACACGACCCGACCCAAAGGGTTTGGTGCGGGTCGCCACTGAAACCCGGACCCGACCCGGACCCGCCGAGCCTTAATGTCAAGAGGTAGGCGGGGATCGTCAGGCGGGCCTAAATCAAAACTAGCAGACAAACTAGCACGCAAATGTAGACACACAGAGACATGGGCACGCGACACTTCAGGGCCATCATGACAGTTCCTACAATAAGGTCGGGGGTTTGGAAACGGGCGGCCAAGCCGATATAGCAGGAACAAACGAAGACATACTGTTGGGAGATGTTGGTGTGGGGGTAGCAACAAAGGGTGACGAAGTTTCAAATTGCCGACAGGGGCAAACGAAACTGCAATTGGTCCATTATGCGCAACAGCTAAAGACTGAAAATGCAACATCAACGGATGAAGTGGGGGCACAACAGGCATAGGAACAATGAGATCATTGTGACAAGCGGAAAAATAAGGAGATGAACCATAACTGACTGGATATGACTGATAGAATTGCAACACAGCAGCTGGTAACAGAGGGCTGGAATCACTAGACCAGCGAGCAAACATACGTGCCTGAAGGTACTTCAGCCTGAACTCAAAAGTTGGAATTTGCGCTAACAGCAACAAACCAACACGCGAAGTGGTATGGGCTAGCGAAAACAGACGACACAGTGCATGATAACAAAAACGCTCGAGTACCTGAACCTGAGCAGTGGAAGGCCGAATAAGTGCTAAACCAAACTCAAGTGAAGGTCTAATAAAAGACAAAAACAACAACCTGGCAACAAAATCAGCAGACCCACCAAATTATTTTTTTTTTTTGAATGTTATAACATGTATTGACAATGCTTAATCAGTACATGTCACCCACGTGTACTTCAACCAAGATTTGGAATCTTCAGTACTTGGGGAGCCGTGCGAGCCGTAGGAAAGAGGAGCGAAGGCAATGGCGAATCGAAGGAGGTGTGGCGCGGTACTTGCACGTGACACGATATTGCGAGAGATATATTTCGTAGGAAATTCGAATCCAGTCCCCTATAGGATTCGAACCGCGGAGTTTAGCTTCGAAAAGTCGCATTCGTACGGACTGAGCCACTATGAGGTCAAGGTATTGACAGCAATGTAGCGCAGTGGAAGCGTGATGGGCTCATAACCCATAGGTCGTAGGATCGAAACCTACCATTGCTAGGAAAGTATTTTTGCATATCACATCTGAGAACATGCATAGCAAATTCTCCCCTTAACACATTGGTGGTCTTTACGTTAGTTGATGAGTATATTTCTCAAAAATATAAAAGCGAGTTAAAAAACAAACAGTACAACACAAAGAAACAAAACCTCACGTCACCAACAGTGTCTATCCTCATTTCCTCCCACCGTCCTCATGGTCATTGGCACCCTACGACAGTGTCTTCGCAATCTGATCTGCTGTGGCACTTAGGGGATCCCGTGGAACCGGCACCGGCTGGCCACCCGCAGGCATCACCAGAGGAGCATCTCCGCCCACCCCGCTCGCCCCTCCCGGCGTGGGCTTCTTCTGAATGATCTCGACGTACGTGGCCGGGAACCACCCCACCGCGCCGCTCTGCAGCCTTCCTCTCCACCAGTCCGCCTGCTGCCCCGTCGCGGGGTCCGTCTTTTGCAGCACGGCAATGATCTCGCCCGCACCGAACGACAGGTCTGTCGGCGGCTGCGGGACGGGTCTGTACTCGTATACCGCCCTCGCAAACTCGAGGTCTTTGATCTGCGACGGGTGCAGCGCGGGATCTTGGACCGGTACGCCGGGTACAGGCTGCGGTGGCGGCGAGTTGGGATCGGCCGCAGCAGCGGCGGCGGCGGCTTCGAGCCTCTGCCTGTTGAGCCTTTGTACAAGCTTGGAGATCAGGTACGGGATCCCGACCGCAAAGAGCAGAAACACAATGACGGGTTTCGAAGAGCGCTTGGTGGCGTTGGCTTCCTCGTACTTTGCGAAATCTTCGGGCGACAGCTCGCTCGCGTCGGCGGGGGGAGGTTTGTTCAGGACGCGCTTATACACGACGTTGCGCGCCCAGCGGTATATCGACACGACCGAGATGATCTGGCCGAGGTAGGTGCGCAGGTTCCCAAACTGCTCAGCTACGCCGACCATGGCCATGAACGACGAGTAGGTGGCGTGGAAGGTCGAGTCGAGCATCTGCGCGAAACCGCCAAAGGCCTGCACGACCTGGTCGAGGGTCTGGAATGCGGCCTGGGAGGACTGGGCGATGCCCATTCCCGGTGGCGCGCTTGGATCGTTGGGGTCGAAGGGCATGCCCGGACGGCCGTACATGCCCATTCCCATGCCGGAGCCGTAACGGTTGTAGGGCGAGTTGTAGCCTCCGTACGAGCCGTACGAGCCGTAGGAGGAGTAAGGTGAGCTGTTGTAACCGCCATAGGAGCTGCCGTATGAACCGTACGTGGAAGAGTATGGAGAGTTGCCGAAGCGGGAATATGGAGAGGAGTAGGAGGAAGAGTATGGAGAGTTGTAAGAGCTGTATGCGGATGGGTATGAAGAAGTTGCGCCGTAGCCACCGTAAGGGGCTGCAGGAGTGACGTCACGGGAACGGTTAAGTACAGCAGGAACTATGGAAGGATTGTGGATATACCAGCCATGGCACCGTTGTTAAATGCGGTGGTAGTGATAGCGGAGGAGGAGGCGAGAGAGTCAGGGCGAGAGGGAATGGCAGGAGCGGCCAACGACGCCTGAGACGAGGCCGAATTCAGTTGAGCGGAAGGACTGTTGGTAGCGGTAGGGGCAGCACCGTTGGGATTGGCACGCTCCCACGGCTTTGGCGGCGACACCATTTGGGAAGACAGCTGTGAATGGTGAACTGTGATAGGTGAGCAGTGCGTAGGTGAGCGGGCGAGTGGGTGAGTGATGGTGATTGGTGAACAGTGATCAGGTGACGGTGGGAGCAGCACAGCCACAGGTGGGAGGACGAAGAGCAAGCAGCACGTTACTGTATTAGTAGTAGTACTGCTAGGGTTACTATGAGGTAGGGGAGATGGGAGATGAGAGAGGGACAGAGATGGTGGATGGTGGATGTTGATGTTGATGTTGGATGTTGGATGATGTGCGATGATGGATCGATTACAACTCACACTGTTGCTGGGCAGGACCGAAATCTGCAACTTCTCCGGGTTCAAGATCCACCCCGGCCATGGTAAGATTTACGTGCGCACTGACAACAAGGTATATCTCTCATATCAATTGCTGGTTGTTCAATCGTGTACTATTTACGCTCTCTATCTCCAGTCCTTCCGCTTCATCAACGGAAAATGCGAGTCGTACTTCCTGCAGCGCCTGAAGCCCTCAAAACTCGACTGGACCGTCGTCTTCCGTCGTATGCACAAGAAGGGTCTTACCGAGGAGGTATCAAAGAAAAAGTCGAAGCGCTCGGTCAAAGTCCAGAGGGCCGTCGTCGGTGCCTCCCTCGACGCCATTAAGCAGAAGCGAAACCTCAAGCCGGAGGTCCGCGCTGCTGCCAGGGCCGCCGCTGTCACCCAGGCCAAGGAGAAGAAGAAGGAGCAGGAGAACAAGAAGAAGGCCGAGAAGGCAAAGGTGTGTTGAAGGATTATACCTAAATTCAACTGGTTTACGTTTCCGAAAGACCACCGCTCGTGGTGCACAGAGCAAGTCTCAGCAACCCAAGGTCAGCAAATTGCAACAAAAGGGTGCCGCTCCTAAGGTCCAGGCCAAATCCCGTTAAATTCTCGCCTCTTTCTTCGACACACATTCCTTGATCGGTTGGCACTGCTTTTGGTTGGTGATTGGATTATTTCGATGCGGGAAGGGACGAGCATCTTGTTCCTTGTCTCCGGTCCCCAATACAATCAACAGTCCAAAATCGTACATAGGCTTATTCCTTGTTCAATCATGAATATGCCTACCACTGCTTTCATATATTGCAACTGAGAAACACGAACGTGTGCCATACAGTGAACACTATTCCCTTCTTGATCATTCTCCAGAGGGTCCGCCAGGTGGCTGCAGTTTGCGTTGAGGCTGCATGGAGGACACCCCCGCACTTTGGAAAGGATTATACCCTCCAGGCGAATCCAGATCCCTCGGCGACGGTGCAACATACCCAGAAGCCGGCGACAGACCTCCTGACGACGTCACGATCCCACCTCCAGGGATCCTCCCCGCCGGCCCCATGCTACTACTCCGATTCCACACGTTCCCGAACCCGTCCTGGAAATCCTCCGTGTTCGCCCTCGGATCCCCCGACCCCGCCGGCCGGAACGGCGACACCGGTCTCCCAGGCGACGGCGCGGCCCTGCTCTCCTCCCTCCCTCGCTTCTGGTTGCTGTTATTCTTCCTCGAGCTTCCGAGCGGCGCACCCGGATTGCTCACCGGCGAGAAGAACGACGACGCCCCGCCCGCACCGCTGCTATTGTTGCTGCTGTTGCTCCCCGTGCTCCAGACATTGTAGAACGCAGAGAGCGGCCGCGTCGACGACGGCGCGTTGGTTCCCGTCGCCGCGGCGACGATCGCACTGCCACCGGCACGCCCAAACGATCTGGACGCCCGCGAACGTTCCTGTTGCTGGTACTGAGCTTGTTGCTGCTGGCTTCCCACACGCTGCTGCGACGACCGCGGCGATGATTGCTGCTGCCGTACGCTGGAAGTAGTGCCCCCACCACCTCCCCCGATGGGTGCAAGCAACCCCTCTCGACTCGGGCTCACGCCCGTCCCGCCCATCCCGATCGGGGCCGTCGAGACCCGTGGGTGGTACCCGCTCGCCATCGACCGGCCCCACTTCCACCGCGTGCGCGTGAACAAAGGCTTCAGCCACCTATTGTCGAAACTAATGAACCAATGCGTCATGTCCTCGTCAAAAGCGGGCAGGTAAATATTCGGCCTCGACCCGCGCGACGTGCTCCGTGCGCTCGGCCCCACAAGCCGCTCTCCAGACCCGCGCCTCACGTCCTCAGCCGAATCCATCGAGGCCACCTCGTCGCTCTCCGCGTGGCGTCCGTACCGCTTCACCCTCGTCCTTGCGTCCCGAACGGACCCGGGACCATCGTCATTCCAATCCTCCACGTCGTCGTCGCTCGAGCCCGACTCGATGTCCTCAAAGTCCTCGTCGTCGGGAGTCGGCGCATCGTAGCCGTGCGGCTCGCCCACGCCCGTGCGGATGTTGAGCGTCATCAGCGCCTGGTGAGTCGTCCCGCCGAGGAGGATGATCGTCACGACGCAGACGACGAGCGTAGTGCTCCGTATCGCGTTGCCGGACTCCCCGCCGACTTCGAAGGCCAGGGCGAAGGCGATCGCGCCGCGGAGACCGGCCCACCAGAGCATGAGCTGGTGGTTGCGCGGGAGGACTTCGTCGCGCTGGTAGATGCGCGTGTTGATCCAGTTGATCATGTGCGACAGCGGAACGACGGAGACGTATCGCGCTGCCATGATCAGGCCCTGCAACATGAAACAAATTTTTTGTCAGCAATTGGAAACGGGAGATTCTCGGTTTGTGCATACGAGGGTGAAAATGATCAGGACGGGGTAGTACTGCTCATCGACCTTTGTGAACAGTGTCACGCCCAAGTATATGAATATAAAGTTTTCGCTCATCTGCGAGAGCACGCGGAACATGTACTTTGTCGTCCTCCGGCTCCGCATGCTCATGTTATCGTACGCGTAGTGCTTCAGCGCGATCCCGCAAAACAGCAGCGACACAATCCCGGAGAGCTGGATCCCGTTCGAGAGGAGGTAAGATGAGTAAGCCAGGAGGAAGACTAGGCATGACTCGAGCGACGGGAACTGGTGCAGGTGCGAATGTTTGAGCATCAAGGCGCAGATGAGGGCGACGATCAGGCCGATCATGACGGATCCGAAAAAGATGGCCATGAAGGTGCCGATACCATGGGCGAGGTTGATGAGCGTGACTTCCTTGCCTTTGAACTGGCCGAGGGTGCTATAGTAAGCGAACGATAAGGCGTTGAGTAACGAGGGTGATGAGTCTGGCGCAATACAAAAACCTGAAGAGAACGATGGCAACCGAATCATTCAGCAAGCTCTCGCCGAAAATGATGGCGTAGAGTTTGGGGTCTACTTTGTTCTGGTGGAAAATGGCGAGGACAGTGACGGGGTCTGTGGATGAGAGAATCGCGCCAAAGACCATGGCATCAAGGAATGACAATTTTAGTCCGTTGATTCCGAGAAGGGC